CTCTCTCTCTCTCTCTCTCTCTCTCTCTCTCTCTGTGTGTGTGTGTGTGTGTGTGTGTTTGTATAGATCTACTTGTCCTGTGTCTGTGCACTTGCATACATGAGTGCATGTATGTGGGGAGACCAGAAATCCATGTTAGGCATCATCCTCTATCACTTTCCACATTATTGCTATTATTATACTTGTCACTTTGACTCAGGGTCTTCCACTAAATCTGAAGCTCAATGATCTTTTTGTTTTGTTTTTTTCAAGACAGGGTTTCTCTGTGTAGCTTGGCGCCTTTCCTGGAACTCACTCTGTAGACCAGGCTGGCCTTGAACTCACAGAGATCTACCTGCCTCTTGCCTCCCGAGTGCTGGGTCAATGATCTGTCTATGCTGGCCAGCAAGCATCTAGCAGTCTGTCTCTCCAGTACTGTGATCACAGATGCACACAGCCATGCACACCCACCTGTAAATCCTCCCTTCCCCGCCCCAGGAGCTGAGGACTGAACCCAGGGCCTGTTACCTCCTGGGTAAACCCTCTGCTACTGGGTCAAATCCCCACCCCACCCCCTTTTTATGTGGGTGCTGGGGTTGTAAACTCAGGTCCCCATGCTTGTGTCACGAGAGCTTTACCAACTGAACCACCCTGCAAGCTCTTAGGACAGTTCTCAAGTGAGCAGTTGGTTTGGGGGGTAAATTGTTTTGGGATGACTGTTGCTTTACATGAACCTTATAGATGTATTCTTGACGTACCCCAGCGTGGCATGGGCTGTCTTGAAGACATGTGTCTGCTGACCCTGGAGTCCAGCAAGGGGGTGCAGCCCACATCTAGCTCTTTTCTGAGTCCGTCTCTCTGACCTGGATCCTGAGAGAGCTTGTCTCCCTGTGGTTCTCTGCTGAGCAATGCCTGCAGGACAGAATTTCTTTGGCTGCTTTCTTCATGTGGTGTACAGTGAGCCTGTACCCCTCAGCCCTGTGCTTAGCAGAGCTGGGGTTTGTTGCCCTCTCCAAACCTTTAAAACCTACTCCTTCAGCATCATCCCTGGCCTATGGGGGTCCTGGCTGTTGTTGCTTTGGCTCTGGGCCCTGGGTCCCTGGCACATCCTTACAGGTTCTTTGAACACCCATTACAGGGATCCTTTGCACATAGAAAAGATGTCCAACTACAGTCCTGTGGTACGGCAGCAGCCCTTTCTAACCCTCCACTCCCCCGTGTGCCCACACGACCCTGAGGTGATGACTTCAGGTCCTTAGCCTCAACGCTCCAAGGCCCTTGGCACTCTCCCAGGCCACACTCTGAGTGCAGAGGGAGGAAGCAGGACTATTGTAAAGGACAAAAATGAAGAGAGGGAGGTATCTTGCTTGTTTTTTGTTGTTTGTTCATTTGATTGTTTTTTCAGATCAGCTGAAGACTCAGGATTCATCCTGTCTTCTCTTTCCCCAGTGGTTCATTTCTTTAGATGTTTCTTGGAACCTGCCATCTCCTTGGCGCCCTTTTGGCTTCCTTCATTTTAACTGAATTTTTATGTATCATTGTTGTTGTGTGTGATGTGTGCATGGAATGTGGGTGCATGAGTGCCTCGGCGTGGGAATGGCCGTCAGAGATGACGCGTGGAAGCTGGTTCTTCCCTTCGGCCGTAGGCTCCGGGTGTCAAACTCAGGTAGGGAGTCAGGCTTGTGCAGACAGCGCTTCTCCTGCTGACCCGTCTAGCCAGCACTCTTTGGCGTCTTTTTGGTTTTGTTTTTGAGACAAGGTCTCTATATGTACTCCTATCTGTCCTGGAACTCTCTCTATAGACCAGGCTGGCTTCGAACTCAGAGATCCTCCTGCCTCTCCTCCCAAGTGCTGGGATTAAAAGCCTGTGCCACCACACCTGCTCCCCTGGGATGGCAGAGGAGGTGCCTGCTGGGGTTGTGGGTTCCAACAGACTGCTTCCGTGGGAAGGAGTGCTGAGTTGGCCCAAGTTTTGGCCTCCAGTCCTGGCTCTGGGCATACCCTGGATCCTCTGGGTCCAAGCTACTGTCTACTGGCTACCAATGAGGAGCTTGGGCAACATGACCTCAGGGTTCCTGAGTGTTGGACATTTGACAGAAGAGGCTGATGGAGAAGACAGAGGAGACAGATATAGCCTAACCTTGATCTAATCCTCACCTATGAGCCTAGGTGGCCTGACCAGGAGCCTGGAGCTGGCTGCTTGTCTTGGTCTCTGCTACTACATGGGAAAGGGCCCTTAGGCCCTCTAAGTACAAGCCCTTGGCAGATCTTACAGACTCATCAGAACTCTGAGCCAATCTTTGACCTAGACAGTGGTGTTCAACATGTGGGTCTTGACCCCCGAAGCAAACCCCCATCTCCAAAAATATTTACAATTCATAGAAGTAGCAAAATTACAGTTATGAAGTAGCAACAAAAATGTTATGGTTGGGGGTCACTACAACATGAGGAACTGTATTAAAGGGTCACAGCATCAGGAAGGTTGAGAACCACTGACCTAGGACCGTTCTCTACTTCATCTCCAGCTTTGGCCTGGCCTGTACCCCTGTCCACACTACCAAGCTGGGAGCCTGCTACAGACAGAAACCTGTGTGTTCAGATCTGCCCTCTGACTCTCACGTCTGCCCAACGGAACCGATGGCCATTTGTGTATGGGGGTATGTCTCCATTTCTGGGAAGGGCTATTGTTAGGTATTGTACAGTATAGCAGTTCCAAGGGCTTTGCAAATTGGAACATGTCTGGGCCAGAGCTGACTTTGCCCTGGCAGTGATTTACGAAACAAACAAGCAACATATCATGCTAAACCTAGATGCCACTGGGTTGGTGAGCTCTGACCCATGACCGGTGGCCACATCTGTTTCAAACCTTCCTTTCCCACCCCACCCTGCAGCAGGTGCTGGATCTGCAGCAGATTTCTAAGCACTAGGGAGCCCAAGAGTGGCAATTTCAGGGACCTTGAGGTAATTGTCCTTCAGGTTCCCATGCATCCTTTCATCCCGGGACCTCATCACCCTCCTGTATCATCTGATCACAGCCTGGAGCGCATTTTCACCCCATCATTAGCCTTGCCTCTAAGCCATGGACACTGTGGTCCTGGGAGAGAAGTGGGCAGTTGGATCTGGAACTAGTATGGCCTTCCTGGGCTTCTGAGGCCTGCAACCTGGTCAGGAGAGCAGTAAGAATTCTGAGGGGCAGAAGGCTGGAGTCTGAATAGCTTGTGGATTGCACCAGTGTGAGAATCAAGGCATTCCAGGTGACTGTGGTTGGGGACCTCACACAGAATGTTGAAACACAAGACTCCCTTCTTTTTGTTATCCAAAGGCTGCTTGTCTTCTAATCAGTAATGAAGCCCAAGCCTCAGGCACCAGCCCCCCACGGAGGGCACCCACAGAGACGGACAGCTGGGATAGTGACAGGACGGCTCACTATGCCTGAGGAATGGCTGAAGGACTCTGGACATCAGGTCTAGAGGAGACAGCCCACAGCTGGCAGGACCAAGTCAGGTCAATGAAAGTTACCAACAGCCTGTTTAGATGGAGCATTAGTTATCAAAAGAGAAAGTACTCTTGTTACAGGAAGTGAACTCCCCTTACTGGAGGTGACAGAGCTGAGGGAGGGGATTACTAGGCAGCAGTCATATGTGGGGCAAGTACAGGAGCCTAGCCCTGCTCTTCTGGCCTCTCAGCTTATGTCCCTGGGTAGGTGGAGTCTTGTGGCTGCCAGAGGCTATAGGGAGACCACTGGATTCAGAGAATTTTTGATAGGTCTGGGGAGTGATGGGTATGGCTGTCTATGAGGATGACTTGAGGGGTTTTTGTTTGTTTGCTTGGTTGGTTTTTAATTCTCTCAATCTCCGCCACCGCCCCCCCCC